TACTATAGGTTGAGCTCCATGGTTTTTAAAATCTATAGCATCAACCCTCTTTTCAATCTTAATTGTCTACTCAAATATTTGTGGATCCCTTAATTCTATGTCTCCAGACTATAAGTTTGAATCCTTGTACAAATTGATGCATCATCTTCGCCTCTGAAATATTACCTATTTGGAGATATAGGGATTTGAATTAGATGATATTATCTTATATTAACTTGGATTGTATAAGATTAGTCCATTGATTGCATGCTATTTTTTTCTCATTGATAAGTCAAAATTGACTCCTAAATTTGGTCTCAAACTCCTCTCAGTCACAAAATTCACCTTGAGCTCTATAGCTTTGAGCTCAATGTTACTACCAAATAGTTGCCTCACCTTTCAAATACTTGGAAATATACATAATTCTTTTGGTAGTCTTTGCTCCAAATAGTTGGAGATACTGTTGCATATTGAAGAGCCATTGACATAAATCTTCTTGTCTTAAAATTCCAAAATATGTATTGAGCTTACTTAGTTTCAGCCTAGCAAATGTCAACTGCCTTGTTCTAGAAGCTTCCATTTGTCCTTTCAAAGTAGCTATCTCGCCTAGAAGGTGTTATATGTGAGTTTCTATTTGGAATTTCTTTGTTATATCTTCCATGCTGCAATTTCCTCATTGAACTTTGTTATTGTATGGCTTCTCCCCTTCTAGCTGATTTCTTAAAAGTAACTCGTGGTAGCTCCAAAATAATACCTAATGTGACCACAATAGCTAATCTCCAAGTAGATGGTGGCTATTCACGCACTACCAAAGAACAAATTAATACTTACATTAATAACAATGAAATGGGACAAAATTATTTCTAAGATTTAAGACTCTTATAATCCATAGAAATATAAATTCCATCACAACATAAGATAGCATAGACCAAAATAAAACCAAGCAGAACTAGAATAGAACATGAAAGACAAAATAAAACAAAAGAGAATAGAATAGAATTGAACAAAAAAATATAAAATCAAACTTTACTGAAGGAAAGGAATTGAAGCTATTCTTAACCGGATATCCAAATCGCTTTAATTAGTCCTATTTATACTTTATCTAAGTATTATGGAACTTTCTAGAATGTTCATAATGGTGGACTTCATTTAGATAACCACCCTAAGCCTTTTCTAGAATGTTCTATAATATGTCTTACATAAACCACCAACTTAGTTTTAATTTTAGAAACTTCTAAAAACTTCTAAGAACTTCTCAAATATGGCTCTAACTACCTATCTCCATGCATCAATAATACGAATAATTTATCCATATATTGTTACAATGATAGCCATAATTAGTAAAAAAATATATTTTTTATGTAAAAAAATGTATTATGTTATTATAAATAAACTTTGTCAATGGCAAAATAGTCGTCTAATTATCTTCTTGGCAATTGATGGTACACCTCAAATATTACTCTAAATCTTCATTCACTTGTTCTATTTATTTGTAAATTTGAAAATAAAAGTAGAAGATAATTTTATGTCTATTTTAAGAATCTTAAAATAAATATTTTAAATAAATACTTAATTGATAATATCTTATAAAGAAGCTTCTTAAAAGCTTCATTTATGTAGTTTTACCTTTGTACATATCTATAGGTGTTTGATAGGTTGAATACTTAGAGAATAAATTAGCTATGTATTGTACATGTTGATAACTTGTAGTACAAGCTAATAATATAGTGTACATATAGGAAATTTATTTTGGAAGTTAAGTCATTTGTCTTGCAAATTAAACATGTATTGGAGATCCTAGAGAATGTTGCGACATAGCTTTTAGTTAGATAGTATATATGGAAGCAAGAATGGAGTCTTTTTTACTTTTATCAATTCTTTTTTTGCTTCTAATTTAATTTCAAAGTCTCTAGTTTTTTATCTTTTAGCAACAGTCATTTTAGTTTCTTTATATATATATATATATATATATATATATATATTTGAAAAAAATCTTATTTATTTATGTATTCATCAAGTTCTTGTCCTTGATACTGACCTAAGAATGATTGTCAATAAATTAATTGTTATAATTTGTATCAACAAAGCCTCTATAAAGATGGTTATGAATTCCAAAATCAATCTACAAAACAAACGTATTTTAGTCCATTTCTATTAAACAAGAGAGAAATTGGAACAATTAGAGATATAATTGAATTATGTATTAATAACCAAACAAGTTGCAAATTTGTTCACATAATCTTTGGTAAAAAATGTGTGAGAAATTTAGAAGCAAACTAAACATTAGAAGCTTTCAAGGTAGCATTCTTTGAAAAAACTAAAACTAAAATAGTAATCTTTCTATTGCCATGTCCTTACTATGCAATCTATCAACATAACTATATATTATTTTTACTTTATATGTATAAAACTATCACTAATAAAACATGACTAATCCTTGCCAATTGAAAGAAATGCAACTTCCCTAAAATCCAAAATCCTAACACCCAAGTAATGCTCAATATCTTCATATATTTTGAAATTCTTAAGCTCCGCATTGTTAAAGCCATTTATTTAAAACTTTACAATTTAGTCAAGAAAAATAAATACTAAGATGATAGCTTTACCAAATAACATAATATTTCCTAATATTGGACAATAGCAACAAACCTTCAATATGACAAACAATACACTAAATTGGAGATGATTATATAACAAAGGTCAAAACTTATACATTACTCCCTATGTTGGTAACAACAACAACAAAAACATCATAGTCATCTCAACTTAACAACATGTGCCTATCAAAAAGACAAGCAAAGAAAGGAAGAAATAAGTAAGGCCATTACAAAGACAATAAACAATAATAATAAGAAACCATAATATAAGCAATAAAATCTCTACTTGCAAGAAATTCAAAAGGTACACATTAGCAAATCTTTTGTCAAGTAAGTGCAACAAAAGAAAGCATAGCTACATATAATTCCAATTTTTGGAATAGCATTAGGACTAGAACTCATTGCAATTAAAAAATCCAATTGTAGATGTAGATCCTTCACCAATTGCTTAGGAATCAACCTCACCAGCTACATTGCTCTAGAGACATTATCCTAAAGCAAATGAGATAGGAACAAGATGAAGAAAACAAATGTAAATATGTACCTCTTCTTTCTTATTAATTAAGTGAGAGTGTCATTGTGGTTAGTAAGAGCTTGAGAGCTTTAGTGCCTGAATTCATACAACTTGCCTGTGTTCAAAATTTAGAGGAGACACCATCGTTCGAACTTGAAGGGATTTGAAAACACATTTTATTTTCAAATCCTGCACGCCTGCTGATCTTAGATACGATAAGTTTTTTAGTTCTACAATTTGAGGTAAGCAAACTATGCTCAGGTTCTCTGTTTTTCATGTGCTGACATGGTCTTAGTTTTTGCAACCTTGGTGGACAAGTTGTAATTTAGGGTCAGGAGCAATTTTTCTCAGTTGAACACTACCGGTGCGTTAGTGTTGCTGAGGATTAATACAATCAGCAAGATTTTGTATGTAAGAAATAAAAAAAAAAAATATATATATATATATATATATTATGTATGCAAGTTTCCTCCAGTGGTTTTTCTCGGCACTCTATCGCAGACTACAACTCATGCTACTTTATGTTTCAGATCTTAAACCTCTTGTGCTGTCAAAATTATAAAAATGTGAGATACTGTCCATAGATAATTTTCTCGCACACTAAGACAACGTCAGCCAAATAAATGTTCCATGTCTTGGAATGATGGATCTAGGAATTCGTGTATAACTTATTTACTGTAAATTTACGAAACATTTCTGCTTAACATCAGAACTCCATCGTTGCTCGTTATCTCTATCAAGACTCCGAGACCATGTAGCATCCAAAAAATCAAGAAAGGGATTACTACACCGAGGATGTCTTCGATGATTCCACACACACACCACTTAAGGCAATGTCAATTTGTTGATACGTGTGTACAGATCGGTTTTGTAATGTGATGACCTCCCTCGGATCAAGATGGCTACCGGTCAAACTCTACGGACTTTCACAGAACGGCAACTATGAAATCTCTGACGGCCAGGGAGTTAGAACAGGATGCGATATCTGAAGCAGGCACATAGCGAGAGCGCTGGAAGAAAACCTCCTCGGTCCAGACAGGGACGCAAGACAGCATACAACATATACGGGAGCCGTTCGAAGGGGATTGCCGATTGTAACAAAGCACAGAAGCTGACACTTCTCGACTAGCACTCACGCGTTTCGAAAGAAAAATTTCTATCCAAGGGAGCCTTCTGCACAAACCAGCCACAAGGGCAACGAGCAATCCGATCCAGAGCCGTTTTGAATTTGCCGATCCGAACAGAGGCGGAGAAGCTTTCTAACGAGGAGACATGAAGTCAGAAACGTCAGCACAAGACATGTCTATGGATGTGGGAATCTGAAAGGCAAAGAACGATTAATGGTTGCGAGTTGCGGTGTCACGAAGAAAGGACGCGTTAAGGACGTACACAGAACGTTCGGTGGCGGTGACGTAGTCATTAAGCTTCTGGTAGAGAAGACTTCAGTGAATATCCACTTGCAAACGTGGTGTCTATCCCATGTTGTTATTGTACGCCATAGATACCGGTACAGATGAGCCTCAACCGCATCTCAATGCTCGTCAAATGCTGATCGCTGACTTTACACGTCGAGGAAGAGCTATTCCGTGGAGTAGGGAGGAAAGTGGCTTGGGTGTTGTTTCGTAGAATGTGCATTGACTATTTTTTTATTACTTCTCCTTCGTTGTTTTTTTCCTTTTTTTTTTTTTTTTTTTCTTAATTTCTTTTCTCTCTTAGGGTTTCGAATTTGAACAGCTAAAATGAGCAGTCCACTCCCTCGCAACTAAATGTCGGCCGCTTCCAGTACATTTGCGTAGCATTTTAACTTCAGAGAGTCGCGGGCACAGGCTATGTACTCGTTTTCTGCCCGATAAGTGCTGCCCTGCCCGAATGAAAGGCGGACCGGGTCGCCTCGCACTCCAATATAAAGAGGAGACACTTCTAGTGGGTAATTTCTAATTTCCACTCTCCCCCACCACGAGTGTGCGGGTCTCCTCCTCCTCACCCTCCATCTTCTGCTGCCAGAACCATACATAAGCAGTCAGCCGTCTTGTGTTGGAAGTGGGATCTAGCTATAAGCCTGATCTACCGCACTACCTGCTGCATCAAATCTCTCCCTGCTCCTGACTCGCCCTCTGCTCAGGCCTTGTATATATATAATTTGACCAGAGCGTTTAGTTCTGGAGAGCAAGTCGTGCCGAGAAAGCCACCCCATCAAGGGTTTCGTCTTTAATTTGAAGTGAAGGGGATGGCTGAGGCAGTCTTGGAGGGTAGCCAGCCTGTGGACCTTGCCAAACATCCCTCCGGCATCATTCCTACGCTGCAGTAAGTGTCGGCGCGGGTTGGAAGTTGGGGTTGGTTCTTGGATTCGGTTAAGAGTAGGGTTTGATGGAGGCATGGCGGATCCGGGTTGTGGGAAAAGGATTTGTGGTAATGGGTTTCTTGCGGCAAAATTGGAACAGAGTGGTGAGGGGTGATGCGTGTTGGTGGCGGAAGAGGGGCGCGTGCATGATTTTTGGTTATATCACGATTCTTTATGTGTTTGGTTATGATAGGACACGTGCTCTTCTTGTGCAGGAATATTGTCTCAACTGTTAATATGGATTGTCGCTTGGATTTAAAGAAAATTGCCTTACAGGCCCGAAATGCTGAATATAACCCTAAGGTATGTGAGGGCTCCTTTTAAGGGGTTTCTTTCGGGTTCTTATGGCACTTCCGATTGGGCATGTGCCCCGGATGGTGTTTTCTTGCTAGGATGTGGCCTTTGGGGTCTCCTAGGTTGAGGCCGAACGCCAGAAATTGTAAGAGTATGGTTATGATCTGTTGGATTGGTCTTGTGGCCTGACTAGGATGTGAAATCCAGTGGCCATTTCCGGCAGTTTGCTAACAATTTGTAATTATAAAAATGCTGCTGCGATACCTGGCGTCAGCTACATGATGTCGAATCGCATGCTGCTTTATTGTATACGTGTAATTAGTATTTTAGATATGCATAGGAAATGCAGAGGTTCTTCTAAGGCATTAACCTGTATGGTTGAAGTTTTGAAGACTATCTGGAGCTTGTATATAGACGCTAGGGTCTGTGTACGATGTTTATTCCCATTATGTTTGCAATTTGCGATGATGATTCAAATGCTAGGGTGCATTGCCCTGGTCGATTCAATAGCTTCGGTGAATAAAAGTCCAATGTATGCTTCATAACATAAAAGTGGATAACATATGGATGTTCTTTGTAATGGGAAGTCACTTTACAACGATACAAAACATGGGTTGTTGTAGTGGTGGTGGCAACATATGATGCCCTGCCCATTAAATTTGCCGATCTGTCCGTTCAGCAGTACCATTTGCCTTGCATTCTTTGCTACATCGACTGCCGTGAATCTACGTTGTGCATGTAGACATTGTAATGTGGATGCCTTGCTTTCAGCATTGTGATCTTCGAATGATTCTGTTCTGATTTGTAAACGCGTCAATGCTTACATTCTTGTTTGAACCTCTCGAAGGACGTTATGTGGGGACGAGAGATTGGATAGTTGATTATCATCTTGAATATCGTCGAGTTTACTATTGATACTATTCATTTGTTGATATTTTTGGTGTTGTTACCTATTTGCTCAACGCCTTGTTGGGCACTATTGTGTACAGCGTTTTGCAGCTGTTATTATGCGAATAAGGGAGCCAAAAACGACTGCCCTCATTTTTGCATCTGGTAAAATGGTATTGTCCCAGTCGCTTTTATTTGGATCGTGAAATTGAAATTGTGGCTTTATTTGGATCACCTGAATAGGTTCGAACTGGGTATCATGCACACTAATTTGGTTAATAAGTGTGCACAACAATATTTGCTACTATTTTCCGCATGAAGATACCAGCATGCAGCGTGTTAGATGCTAAATAACTAGCCAAGTGTGATTTCGAACCTTGGATATGTGCTAATGCTACTTCAAAATATTTCTGTGCTTCATTCTTGGGTACTCATAATTGACTCTTACAATACTCTCAGGTGTGCACGGGTGCCAAGAGTGAGCAACAGTCAAAGTTGGCTGCAAGAAAGGTGTGAAATTGTTTGCTGGTTTTTGAATGATTAGTTGTTGGTGCTGTGCGTAGCTCCAGTATGAAGGTTGCTTTGAAAAGCCCCAGTGACAACCAATGGGGAAGAAATTTCTCTAATGTCTTCTTGACTATGATCCGTGCAGTATGCTCGCATCATTCAAAAGCTTGGCTTTCAAGCTCATTTCAAGGTAATTTCGTGCTTAGGCATAGAGTTTCTCAGAATAATGCATTTCATGTTGTGTTAGATGCAAACTCGTTTTCAAGTACCGATTATTTGAAGTATTGTAGTTGCATTTTGGTCACTGCCTTCTCTGGATTCAACAAGATGTGATTTGCGGTTTCAGAGATGTTGCTGACAAAGTTACCTCTCTTTGCAGGACTTCAAAATTCAGAATATTGTTGGATCATGTGACGTGAAGTTCCCTATCCGGCTCGAGGGTTTAGCATATGCCCATGGTCATTTTTCAAGTGTGAGCACTCCGGACTTGCTTACACGAAGTAGAAAAATATCTTATTGTGTTAAATTTTCAGAAATGATGGTTTCTTTGCCCAAACTTGATGATTGTGTGATGTTGAAAGGTTGTGACGAATTGTTGTCTGGGTAACTTACATCCAGTATTATTCCTCATACAACGCATGGGTGCTCAGTGTTCGGCACAAAATATATCCGCGTGTATTATCAGGAGAGTATAGAGTCGAGAATTTAAAATGTTACAAAATGAGCTGCTTTAAGTGCCTAAACTATCTTTCAGATCTTATTGGTGTTTGACCCATGAACTGTTGGTTCACTGTTTGCAGTATGAACCAGAGTTGTTCCCAGGGTTGATATATAGAATGAAGCAGCCCAAGATTGTATTGCTTATCTTCGTGTCTGGAAAGATTGTCCTTACTGGTGCTAAGGTATGGCCGCTTAGGCTCCACATTCAGCTTATAATTACGTGGAAACTTACAGCATTTCCTACGCTTTATAATTTGTTAATAACAATGAAATCTATTGAATTCGGAAGCTTACTTCCGCATGTATCTTTCTTCTTCTCTTGTAGGTAAGGGATGAGATTTACGAGGCCTTCGAGAATATTTATCCTGTGTTGACAGAGTTTAGGAAGATCCAGCAGTGGTACGTCCCTTCTCTGCCTTACATCATTTCTTGAATTCTACATGTCTTGTACCATAAGTTGTAGCAAAATCAGTCGCTGACCTGACTTTCCGGATATTTCTTTTGAGCGGAGTGCCAATTACGTAGATTGTATATCAATAGATTAAATTGGTATGAAGTCAAATAAGCTGAAAATCTGAGGTTATGGTTTGGTAAAGATCAAGAGGACTGCACTGATGGTTGGAGTGACTTCGTGCGACACAAATACACAAGTCTTTTTCTCGAGAATTTTCTTATACTCACTTACACTCTCAAAAGCAAGCATCTTGTGGCAGCTTCGGTTTGCCTGTCCTGGTGCATCATTGGCGTGGTTTCTTCCTGTCTTCACAAGGAACGATGGCAAAAGAAAGAGAGTAGGTTGTAGATTTTCTTATTTGCACCAAAATACTCAATGGAGTTGCAAGGACTGCTCAGATCTCCATTTTTTAAGTCGGTTCCTATGGGATGCATGATTCTGTAGATTTGTCGCATGTTGGCTTCCATCAAGGCCTCCTTTTGCGGCAGAATGTTTATGTACCTATAATTCTTGGATGACTCTAGTCACGAGGCGCATTGGGCTACAGTCCACCTTTGGAGGAAGAGCACATGTGCTCTGTAGATTACTGCAGATGACATTTTCATGAGAGACTTCAAAAAAAGTAGACATTATTTCCAAGGTTTGAGCGAATGAAAGCCGCCAGAGTTCTAATTCCGATGTACCATTCTTCATACTAATTATCAACGTTTTCAAAATCACTTTTCTTGACCAATTATTAGTAGTGAAGTAATTATGAACTTCAACTATTCTTTATACTTGCATCAAATCTGAAATTTATTCCATTGATTAAATAACTAAATCAATGGAAGTCATTTATTAGTTTTGATTTTATAAGAAATAAGATTCGACAATTGCACTAAAACAGTATTCTTTCTTTGTAATATGTATAATATTTTTGGATTTAATTCTTTTTTTGGATACAGGTAATTGTAGATTTTCATCTACAGCAAATAAACTTGTACAATTTTGCAAGTTGATTTCACTTTTGATACTAAATAAAATCTACTTGCAAATTCTCAAAACAAGTAAAACAAAAGAATTCCAAAAGTCATATGAAAAAAAATACAAAGGAAGTTAAAGGAGTAATAGTAAATAAAAATGAATTGTATGTGGTACAATAAAAGACATGATTGATGATAGTATAAATTAGAAATGTTAACTGCTAATTGTGATAATATATTTCCAAATGTTTTTGTGAAAGATACAAAGTCAATATAAACTTTTTTGAAAAAAACTTTCCAGAGTAAAAGAAAACATTTAAAAATGTTGTTTACTAAAAAATAATAGCCTATTTTTCTATTATTTACACTTAAGTAATTATCTTTTAACACAATATTTTATAATTTTGTAGAAATATGTACACCACAAACATTGTCTAGTGATAACTTATTTCATTCAATATATCTCCTTAGGTAAACACAAATACTCACTTGCAATCTAAATTGAAGCAATTTTTAGGAAGAATGTCAAATCCTTCATTTTATTACTTATGCATGCATTGTATTTTCTTTCAAACTTTGTATTTTTTTTTTTTTTTTTTTCATCTTTTGATTCTATCACCTTTCAAATATATAATTTAAATCTATATCTCTACACATATATACTTTATTTTGGATGGATATGTATTTATATATATATATATATATATATATATATATATATTATCTTCACATTATCATTTATGTTCATTTCCACATTCTCAACAGTCTCCACCATGTCTTTATTTGTTACAAACACCTCTCTACTTACAATAAATTTTCACACATCAAATGCATGCATATATAAAAATCTTCTGTTTTTTTGGGCTTCCAAGCCAATAATCTACTTGCAAACAATGCTTATCAATATTTTTGCTGCCAAAAAAATATATACATATCCCTTTAATATATGAGTATTTGATACGAAGTTTTCTTCTAGTATCTTTTACATTATTCGAAAAGTCCATAGAAACCGATGTCGTTCAGAGAATGATCTCTCATCCATTACCCTCATCTATAATTTATCATCCTCTAAACGCGGCTTGCCGCCGCCGCGAGGCCGCGGTTCCCGGTATTCTCGGGTGGTCAGGCGCTACTCGTGTGCAGATTCCCGAGGTGAAGACCCATATCCTTCGATCCTTAACAGAACTGCTTGCTCTATGAAACCGATGGTTCAGCTGGCCAATTTCGTTTCCAGAGCTGCTTTTCTACGACTCACAACTTATTCGAAGTCAACAGCGTCGTGATTCTACGGCCGATTGACGTATGTACGAGGCCTTGGCTCATACATTGGTGTCTGTAGAAAATGATATTGTAATTTCTAGGGCTTCGGCGTTGTGTTGTATCCCTGCAGATTGCGGTTGTTCATTGTGGCGTTTGTCTAGCTCGGAGTGTCGCGTCGGGGGTCGATTCTGGATTTTGGGTTGTTGTCTACGTTTTCGATTTTGCTTGTGTTGGAGAGCTGTGTAGAGTCCGGACCTTGGTTTGACATTCCTTTACTGCAAACAATTTCCTGCATGTCGGTTGTCACCACGAAGCCGTTGCGATCATACTAACCTTGCGAAAATTCTTTACGAGCCATGGGGTCGTTGTCACGTTTGAAAACATTGAAGCGGACCTCAGACTGGAGAACATTACGCAGGAATGTCCAGTTTAATTCCTTCCGAGCGGATCGCTCATTTGTTGCCTCGGTAACATTTGGAATACCTTCGGATATTGATCTCCGTATTCAACCCGCTTCGGGACCTCTTGACTCGGGCGGAACGCATTTCCGACTGGATTACAGTGCAAAGAGTGGAGATTTGGAGCGTGTGAATCAGCCAGCTTGGCGCCAAATGCTTGGGAGGGGATCTCAAGGTTTTAATCCGGTAGTTTCTTACTGAATACCCCCTACTTACGAAATGTTTAGATCTACATTCCTGTTCCTTGGTGTGCGGGAGTCTGCTTTTTACTGATCTTTTGTCTCGATTTTTCAGAACCTTCATAGATATCTGTCTTCACATGCATCCTCCACACAAGTGCCACGGGAGAGAGTGGAGTGCGTGATTGTGGGCGCGGGTGTCGTGGGGCTTGCGATTGCAAGAGAGCTTTCTTTACGAGGGCGCGAGGTTTGGGTGATAGAGGGAGCAACTGACATTGGAACGGGCATAAGTTCTCGCAACAGTGAGGTCATACATGCCGGCCTCTACTACCCAAAAGGGTCCCTCAAGGTCGGGATGCAGCTGTACAGGTGCAACTCCCCGCTTGGTTATGTTGTGCGATAAATTGTATGAGTTGTCTGCTTTATGCATTCATGAAGTTATATTTCGCTAATTTTGTATATTACAGCTTCATATGATTCTGCTATTGCAGGCAAAACTGTGCGTAGAAGGAAAGGATGCGTTGTATGCATATTGTCAGGAATACGGAATACCATTCAAGAAAACAGGAAAATTGGTTGTTGCCACTCAGTCTCAACAAATCCCTATGTTGGAAAATATCTTGAATGCTGGAAAATCCAATGGTGCCCATGATTTGCGACTTTTGGAGTCCAATGATGTTCGAAACATGGAACCTGAATTGGAATGCGTAAAGGCATTGTGGTCGCCTTCATCAGGGATTGTGGACTCTCACTCCTTCATGATCTCACTGCAGGTACGAGAATCAGCTCATTTTCTGTGACACAATTTCTCTAATAAACAAGCGTGTCAATATCTTAACAATTTGAAATATTTATCCTATTAGTTACCAAAGATAGACAAATAAAGCATTGATTCAAAGAACAAGAAAAAAAAAATAGAAAAAAAAAGGGAGAAAAATCCCTCATCCAATACTATCGTATGCCTGAGTTTTTGGAGATGATGAACCTGAAGAGGATTCCCTCTTATTCCTCTGAGAAGTGCTAGAATCTTTGGCAGTAGATGCAGAAAGTTTCTGCAGAATGTTCCGTTTTCAGCTGAGCCATGTTAAGGTTAACTCGATTTTGTGCTTTTTCGCAGGCAGATGCAGAAGAGCACGGGGCGTCATTTGCATATAACACATCGATGTTGCGAGGTGCTGTTACGAAAAGAAACATTGAGATTCATGTTGGTAGTACCGAGGCTCTCACGCCTTCTTCTGGTACGAAAGTTACACCCGTCTTACGATAAAGAAGTCTATTGTGCTAGTTCTTTGCGATAAAGTGTCTTGTAAGTTGAGGATGAAGTTGTTGCTCTTGCTGTGAGCAGTATAAATTGGTCTGCTTAGCATAATGTGATTCACTTGAACGAACTACTTGCTTGTAGTTCCATTGGAACTGTATTCTAATCTCTTCTTAGTATTTGACTCTTCCGTTTAGTTCATCATCAATTCATCAGCATGTAATGTAACAATAAGTGTATGTCAAGACGGGCGTGTGCTGTATTGTTTTTAAGCTTTTACGATTTGAAGTTTTCATTCGCCGTTGTCAGAACACCAGTTCCTTTTCATGTGCAGGAAAAGGAGTCGATGCAGTATTGTGTGCAAATTATGTCGTAAATGCCACTGGTCTCTATGCCCAGTCATTTGCAAGAAACTTGGATGGCTTGCCTGTGGACAGTATCCCTGCGAGCCATTTTGCAAGGGGCTGTTATTTCAGCTTACCAGGGGTGAAGGCTCCATTCTCGCATCTGATTTATCCTATCCCTGAAGATGGGGGTCTGGGCTGTCATGTCACTTTGGATCTTGGAGGTCAAATTCGGTTTGGACCAGATGTTCAGTGGCTTCCCGAATTGACAAACAGCGTATCGCTTTTCACACAGTGAGTGTGCCTCTACATGTATTTCGTGTTTTCCAAGCCCAGTTGCATTGCTTGAAGTCATTGCATGAAGCTTAAGAGTTTTGGCGGATAAAAAGATGGATCTGCTCTATTTATAAAGTTGTTTCTCATTTTAATCTGCAGGTTTGACTATTCAGTGGACCCTAAGAGAGCAGATAGATTCTATTCCGAAATACGCAAGTACTATCCTTCTTTGCCTGATGGATCATTACAGCCTAGTTACTCTGGCATCCGCCCCAAAATTTCTGGTCCTGGCCAGCCATCTGCTGACTTCCTGATACAGGTTTCTTACTCATTCTTACAAATATTGTTTCAGAACCTTTTCTTTTAACTGAATTTTACCTTATTTCTATGATGTTCCTAAATTTGAACTCTGTTCACACTTAAAGAACGAAAAGAGTTGATTTCTTGTTCATCAACCTGTCGCAAAGCGACCCCGCCGCTAAGATTGAGGATGCTATGACAAGAATAAGATGAACATGCCACACGTAAACCTGTTTTTCCTTACTGTAAAATGTTATGTTTATGCTTCAGTTCGTTCTAGTGCCCCTGCACTGGTGTTCTTTTAAAGACTATGACACATATTCTTCTGATTTGTGGCATTGAAGGGAGAAAAGGATCATGGAGTTCGAGGTCTTGTGAATTTATATGGAATCGAATCACCTGGACTTACATCTTGCTTGGCAATTGCCAAGACGGTTCATGCGATGCTGATGGACCAAGAGTGCTAAGCAGAGATGGGCGTCGTATTTTTTTTGAAGTTTGGGTACCCATGTCAGTAAATTGACTTAGACCCTGTCCCTATACTCTTGTCCATCTTGGCGTGGTAGTGGTCAGTGCAGCTGGCTACGAATGCCCCGTACCTTTGACGAATGTAAATGCACATCGATGTTTCTAATGAAAGTGCAATTACGCTAATTACTTCTTCAATACAAGATGTATTTTGATTTCTTAAATTAATGCAGTTTTAGGAACCTTGATAAGTGATGGCATGCAGGAGTTACTAGAATTGAAGTATTGGTGATAGTGTTATTCTTGCTGCCTGTATGAGTGAGTGGTGAATTATTTAATTGACTTCCTAGTATCATCATCAGGTTCGGTGTGAGAGAGAGTGCGTCTGCAAGATGCTGTTGCAAATACCTTTAGGTTACACACCCAGAGAACAAGCAAATTAATTCGTGGACATGATGTGGAATGTTATTTCAGGTCATACCACATGTCCCTGAAATGTAAAGGACTCTCTTTGCCTGCCATCTAGGCCACTGCTCCCTCTTGCCTCTCGCCTCCCACTGCAGGATGTCCCTCAGTGACGAAACCGGACATTTAACTGCTGCCAAATCCTGTCTTGGAGTAATTATTCTGTCGATACCAAGCAAGTTGTGTCGCAGACTGGATTTCAGTGAGGAACTTCTGAGGTGTTTCAAACACCAGATTTACTTTTCCACCACTGTGGGTGAACAGAGCAGTACAATGTACTTTGAGTTCACCTATACCCTGAATCAAGCTGGACCTCTGATAAGGAACCTAACTTTTCACTGTGGTAGCATGTTGTGTTTGCCTGGGATCCGATAACCAGTTACTGATGCAGTTACTGCCATTTCATATACATCACTCACGCTCTATTCGCTTCTTTTCTTTTTCTTTTCACCCTCTCCTTCTCTTTGCTTGGGGTGTGGGTGGAATGGTAAGGGCTCGAATTAGTGATTCAGGAAGCGACATTGATGACCACCTACCACCGTACGTACCTCGCCCTACTACAAGGGGAGGTACTACGACGACTAGTATTATACTCAACGTGTATAGAGCGTCCTGGCAGAAGGCACACACATACTCTTCTTCTACCCCACTCTTATCCTTTTTCTCCCTTCTACCTCTCTTTTTCTTTCTCTTTTCTCTCCCTGCTTGCTTGGTTCACAGATTTCACAAGGAAGGGGAGTGGGCACAGCAGCTTTATCCAACATTTGAAGTGCATACACATGGTTTTGATGTGGATGGATGTATTTGAATGCTACCATCATCCTCTCAGCAACCCAAAACTTCAACCAAAACCAAGACAACTGCACTCTGGAAAAAGGGGTTTCATATTCACCCATGAGATCTTGAAAGTCAAATCCACACTCAGTGGTTTCAAAAGTTAAATGACCCAATAAGTACAATAAATTAAGATCAGAATAGAGTGAGGGGGGTGGGGGGAAGGGTTTAGTCTGTTCAATCTCCCAGTTAATGAAATCCCTCTTTTTTCTTCTAAACCTAAGTTTTTGTTATGTTCTTTTTCTTTTTCTTTTTATAATTTCCTTCCTCTGGTAGTGATACCATCTCATGGGTAGTGTCTGTCAATGCCCAGAGTGGGAGCAAGGGTGCACAACATGCCATGCCCATATTGCTGCCATGTTGGTTCTCTCCATCAGTGACATAATCTTTGTCCGCACCACATGTAAGCTACCATCCTCCATTATCAAACTTTTTTATCTTGCTTTCTCAATTTATAACTGGTGAATATCTCAAATAAGGTAGGGAGAGGGGAAGACTTAACAAAGATCAAGTTGCCAGATCTTTAATGATCAGCTCAAGCAACCTCTAACTTACCCACATAACAGGCAGAATCCACAACCCCAAAATTTTAGCTTTTACTTCTTTTTTAAAAAAACTACTTTACGAGCTCATAATGGTGGCGTACGTAGCCGCAGCAGGGTGGTGCGTCAGGGAGACCGCGTCCGTGGAGACGCGGACGCGCGGCTGGTTGTTGTTGCCTTTGATTCAAACTGCGAGTGGAAGTAGAGAAGCCCACAAGCCGTATAAAGAAACTTAATGGGCGATTCAGTATTCACACTCCCTTTGGACTTAATTTGGTGGGTCACGTAACGACGGGTTGCAGCCGGTTTCGGGCGGTTGCTGAATCTGCCCCTCTCGCACGCTTTCTTTCTCGACTTGTGGCTATTGGCTTGCGAAGCTCGGCTTGGTCTAGGTTGCAGCTCTAGATTTGTATACCCAGGCTGCCTGAAGCTCTCGCAGGAGAGGAACGGCTTCAAGCTGGTGGTAAGTAGCCATCACGTCTCGCCCAGAGGCTCAGTAGCATGTTGAATGTATCCAGCTCCGTGATCGCCATCAGCGTGGCTGGATGGTGGTCCTGCACAACCACGGAACTATTTGGGCTCCCTGCGAGCTTTTGACCAGGAGCATGCTTTCCTTTCGTCCCACATGCAATCAGCATGCAAGATTTTCCTCGAACCCCTCCTTGGTCTCCGAGAAATTCACCCCCCTCACGCTAGGCTTGATTGGTCGTTGATCGTCTAAGGAATCGGGTCGATATCTCTGTCCCATTTGAGTTTACGGTGCATAACGCAGCTTCTTACGTCCTCCGAAACCTAGTATTCACGCAGTTTGCATTCACTCCAACCGAGGTTCGGAAGAATGCTGAGTTGTAGTGCTATCGTTTGAGCTCACTTTTAGTCGAGGAAGTGCTAGAGTACTTACCTCGAGCTGAGCGTCATGGTCACCAGGCGACGATCGTAGTTCTACACCATGTGTCGAAGTTGTTGCACTAGTCCGGTAAAGCGATTGACCTGGCATTGATGAATCCAGTAAGGTTGAGGTGGTCGTGATTGAAGATTCGATTCTGTGATTAGATGATTACTCCATCTTTTCTAACTTAAGAATTTCCTTCATTTGTTTACTTGATTAGGATGGAGTTCCCGAGGATGCACTACCTCTGATCCGCAAAGAAGAGGATACTCGCTCCGTCGTGAGATTGTTTTTCAGGTGAGATTGTTTTTCTGCACATGCTCGAGACCATCTAGAAGTGATTGATTTAAACTTCAATTGTGGATACTAGTCGTCTGCGCAGTGATCTAATATGGCTTCCGATGAGGGTATCGAGAACCACCATTCAAGCTAACAGAAACTCGTATCCATGTTGAAGCTATCACAGGTCTTCATCTTGTTAAATCTATGGCGCAGCTTTAGTGATTTGTCTCAGTTTGAGGTTTAGTACAGCTGCACCAGTTTCTCAGTACGACGTCCTTCATCACATAATCTCTGTCAGAAACGCTATGAGATTACAGAACGCTTCTGTTCAGTTAAAATGAACACGAATTTTTGACCGTGCTAGGTTGGAAGAATTTTGAAGGCTGTAACGTGTACAGATTAGGAACTTCATCTCGATTTTACAAGACACTTCTCGCCGATCTGCGACTTGAGATCGGCATTCTTGCCTTTCCGTCTGCATTTCGATGTTTTTCTGTATTCTAGCTCAACAAGTCCGTAAACAGGCTTGAAGCACCACAGTTAATATTTCTGTGCAATGTTCAGTAAATAAGAAGAACACTAGTAATAGTCATTCGGATGAAGAGTAGGATATCTCCTTAACTAATACATCTATTGATGATCTTCTGCAGTCCGCTGAGTATATTGGATTAATTTTGAGAACATGAAACTCATGAGCAAACATCGTGTGAGCAGTCTGAGGTATCTCTAAAGAGTTGACGTGGCCCCATACTCAGCGACCCTAATGCCAGCACTAAACGTCTAGATTGGTATACTTTATTAGTATATCTTGGAAAATAATGAGCTTCCAGTTCCAGGAGATGTTGACGAGCTTCATGATAACGGTATCCTTTGAATAATCGCTCTTCAACAAAAACTGCGCACGTGCCGAATCCAAACTTCCTTGGACAAACTACTTCTTGGACACATGAAATCTCGTTAGTTTTTTACTCTTTTTAGACAACTTGCCAATGTATGCGAACTTGATTATCTTCGGAGCCATTTGAAGGACTAGTCTCACTGTGTTTTTTTATTCTTCTGCATAATCGTATGGTTTGCTGGATGGTTTGGCAGATGTTCCGCTGATGCTGGTCGGAATCGCCAGTACTGCACACGTCGGGTTTAGACCACCAACTGATGACTCATTTTTGCCGACTAAAGCGTGGAAGGTGAAAAGAGTTTGGTGTTTTACATGCAATGCGGGTGTTCTGCTGGGAGGGCAGGTTCTGAAGCAGAATTTCAACTGATTTGTTTAATTTATTTTTTATGTTTTCCCCCTAGAGACTTGTAGGGTTCAGAAAATTCCACAAAATACTCCGAGATTCGCAGAGCGTGCATTTTCAGAACTCTGGTACCAATAAGAAAAGTCGTACGAGCCGGATAAACTGCGTGGAACTCTGGCGACAAACTACCACGTACACTCTTGGGCTTGCTTTGGAAATAGAAACTGTACATTGTACACTCATGCTGCACCCTACTGCATGTGTCATTGCCTCATTGCTGGTGTCTGATGAAGATGCATACGGGAGAGCAAGAACTACCTTTCTAGTTCCGAAGTAGTGGAAAAGCACGGCAGCCAGTAGCTCTATAATTGACAAAAAACCGACACTCGTGTGGACTTTTCCGCATCGCTACTCAAGATTTTTTGATCAGCGAAGTGATTTGTGATGCTGGGAGTACGAGTTATGTCATCTGCCCAGTCGTTCCAGGTAGCAGGATCGCATCGATCCTGCCAGGAGATATATGAGGCGTGCTCGACGGATGCTGACCATGAAAGATCAAGCATCGATTGCGAAGGTGAGATGGAAGTAATTCTTGACACTCTCTACGGAGAGGAGGCAATTACGTCTGCATCGGGCTTCGTCGAGTTAGTGAGGAAGTGGCAGGACCGCCGTGCAGAATGTGGGACCTCTTTCCTTGTTCTGCATTGTGATCTGTTTGGGCAGGAAGCACAATTGATACGGCAGAGATTCAGCTTGAAGCGCAACACAAATGTGCACATTGTCTACTCGGATGTGCGAGAGGGTGACGCGGTAGTAGGAAGCGGTTACAATTTGGACACGTCTTTCTTCAAAGTGACATCGAAAACGGCTATGAAAGAGAAAGTGAAGACAATTAAGGAACCCACTGTTGTGTTTCTTGGAAACGTTTTGCTCAACGGCAATAACCTTGGGGATTTCACTCTGGATGATATACTTGTAATGTACGTGCCAACCATATTTGCCGAGTTTTATGCACACTCTCTATCGGCATTGATGAACTCCTTGCACACTTTCACGCCATTTCTAGACGACGGTTCCAGGAAATCTATTCGCGGAGGCAAGGTGAAGGCTCCAGCCCCAGTCTGTTGCTTAGAGAATGTAGTCACACACTCCCAACGCAAACGGCTGTCCGAGAGAGACCAGGCATTATATGACAGTGCAAATCTTGTTGCTACCCAGCTTTATAACGGCATGTCGTCCTATTTTGGATCACTAATTTGTCAAGACCTTGAGCAACGATCGGCTAGACTCGGATTCGACCTGAGGATAGGATTGGAAGATGAAACCGTGCCATTCGACAACCTCTACGTCGCCAGAGGTGGCGAGGTGCAGTTACGACGGGGTGTGGGCGACAGCTCCAGCTATGAAATTGTCTGTTGGACTGCATACGGTTCCCCGGAAGGTGGCGAATTCGTCATACCTGGACTCCTGTACAAGTTTGACACTGGTCAAGGAAGTACCATCCTCTTCCGCCCAAATCGGTACTACCATGCTACCCTTGCACCCGAAAAGAGAGACATCGTGAATGAGAAGTTCGCAGTGGCGCTAGTTAGTTAAACGCCACCGTGCAGATTCATAGTTTAGCCTGTGGTTTCATAACTCAAAGGTGCTCAGCAGTCGGTCGTCAGTGGCTGTTCGAACCCCTTCGCCTAGGAACTGTTCTCATCGATCTTCAATTCATGCTTTAGACCATGGATGACAACTATGTCAGTGGATAAGTAGTTGCAAAATGCTTCAATTCTCCACTGAGCTCACAAAACCCTCCACTGCAACCGTACTTTTCCGTCAGCTCATGAGCCATCCACAGAGGCTAACTTACTAGATCTGCAATTAGAATTCATAAAGCCCGATGAGAGGCGCCACCGCTGATGGATTCTGCCATCAAGAACAATCTGGACACAGATTTTTGACGATTTAGGATCTGAATGTGTTGAAGTCAATGAATTGAGTTGAGGTAGATATCCACCTTGCTGTATGGGAGAGAAGGAAGAAAGTAGATCACATTTATGAAAATAAAAACAGTGGGAAGTTGAACGTTGACATGCGAAGCTTTACGTCCAATTTGTAGTACCTTTCAAATTATAATAAAAAAAATCAAGAAAGAAGTAAATTAAGCTGAAGTATAAAAGTTACATTGCTACAAGTACTACCATACAAACATGTTCTTTTTAAAAGACGGTATTCTTATTTCACTGACCATTTCGAAAGTCTTCATGAAATCATTTCACTTCTGCAGCGCCAGATCTGAACTGGAAAGCCTGCCCCATCTTCTGCAAACTTGTCTCATCATCCATCTAGTAACAGTCCTTGCGGTGGAAGCTGCGGAGCAGAACCCGTGTGAGCATGGATCCACCGTGGGTCATGATCCACGGACATGTGGCCGTCAACTTTTTGACTGTTTGCACTCTGAGAGTAGACTTTGATCATTGGTTTGGTCGGCACCCGAGACTCCACTTTTGCCGTTTGACAATCAAAACGCAGCCCCCAATCCCGCATTTTGTCCAGCACTCTGTCCAATTCATCCATTGCAGTCTACTCCGCAATCTTTCTCCTGCTTGTTGTTGGTCACTCACTTCGGTCTGTGTCGTTGTTGGATTGCCTCTAGCAAACTGGTAAGGCGAGTTCAACATTGTTGCTATTGAACATGAACCACTCTTGGTTATCAACAACTTTTCTCATACTGCTGACTGGAATTTGGGAGGGCAATAAACAAGACAGCAGCTCTATCAACTCCTTAAATTGCATGTGGTATCAAAGGTGGAAGATACATGTCTACTCTTTAAAAAGATGCATGGTTTGTATGGTGTGAGGCCAAAAGTGACCCCTCTCTACAAGAAAAACTTCACAATTGTAATGAATACAATCTCACCAATGCCATAGTGGAATTCCATGGTGGTATTGATCACCAATGCCATAGTGGAACTCCATAGTGATATTGATGACCAATTCATCATTGTCATCACTTGACTTGAATTTGTTGCTTGAGAAATGCTATCCAAGGATACCTGGGAAGCTTTATTGCAAGAACATGATGGACCACAAGAGGTATGTGAGCAGGAGTGTTATTTCTCACTCTCTTTTATTTCTCTCTAATCCCCATTTATTACTCATGTGAGTGAATAATAAATTGATTTGTGACTTGAATTTTGGTTTACGTATCATGTCTTGAATTACAAGATTTGTATTGTAAAATTGCACCATTGTCAATCCTAAAACTTGATGCTTAGGGCAAAATTTGATGATGTGAAATTAGTATAAGGAGAGGTAAGAAAAACAATATGAGGTTTTGGAAGCTTTAGGTGTAAGATTCTAAAAGCCTTGGATTTTAGAGGTCACATCCCCATAAGTTGTTGTATAAAAAAACAAAACTTGACAAGTTCTATCATATACACTTATGGTGTAGGTGTTAGGGACATATTCCTTAGAACTTTCTAGAGAGAAGTTTCTAGAACCTTCTAGAAAACAAGCCTCTGGAACCTTCTAGAAGAGAAGCCTATGGAACCTTTTAGAGAGAAGTTTCTAGAAGCTTCTAGAAAGGAAGTCTCTGAAACCTTCTAGAAGAGAAGTTTCTAGAAGCTTCTAGAAAGGAATCCCCTGGAACTTTCTAGAAGCTTCCTAGTTAATAGAAGTAGCTCGAGAAGTTTCTAGAACCTTCTAGAAAGGAAGCCTCTGGAACCTTCTAGAAGCTTCCTAGTTAATAGAAGTAGCTCGAGAAGCTTCCTAAGTAGGAGTATATATAGGGATCGAGGCTGAAGAGTTCTTCAGTCTCGACAACACATCTCTTGGAGTTCTAGCTCACCTTTTTGGTGTTGTTCTTGTACTCATCTGTTTAATCTACTTCTGCCACTTCTTCTTGAACTTCTTGTTAGATTTCAAGTCTGTATTTTGTGTCCGTGACAGTTTGTCGAGACTACACTAACTTGAGATATCAGAGCTAGTTCTTTCTTAGTAGAGTGTGGATTATCCCTCTACTTGAAGGTATACTAGCATTTTTTAGAGGTTGCGGATTACCCTCCTCTAAACTGATACTTCTTCTATTACAATATTGGAGTCTTATTCTTCTTGGAGAGAGTGGATTATCCCTCTTCTTGAAATTCTTAAGGCATTTTATAGGTTGTGGATTACCCTCCTATAAACCAATATTGCCTCTTATAGGGTCATTTTTGTCCTTCTTTTAGAATGGCTGGAGGTCAAGACATTAGTATGACAGAAAGTTCAGAGTCTAAGTTAGATGCTATTATGAATGCCCTCGCTATGTTATCACAAAGAACTGCAGAGATTGAAGGAGTGGTGGCAAGGCTTCATAATGATGGAGTATCTGGGATAGCACAATCTAAACTACACCAGCCTCAAATTTCGGCACTTGGAGAAACAACTTTACCTCAGGTTCGACAAGAACCACTAGTTCTACAATATAAGGAGCCTCGAGTTAGCCTTCCAGATAAGTTTGATGGAACACGTTCCAAGTTTCGAGGATTCGTCAATCAAATCAGATTGATAACAGTTTTACAGCCCGAACGATATCCAACGGAGGAGTCACGTGTTGGGCTTGTTGGAACCTTACTTACGGGACAAGCTCTATCATGGTTTGCTCCTTTGTTTGAGAAACGATCATCCATATTAAACAACTTCGAAACCTTTTTGGAAGCATTTGGTGAACACGATAAGGTTCGATGGGCTACAACAAAGATCCGGTCGCTACGACAAGGGATGCGTTCTACATCAGTCTATGCTTCGGATTTCACGCAATTAGTATGCGACATCAATTGGGATGAAGAAGCGTTGATGAGTCAATTCTATTGGGGTTTAAGAGATGATGTGAAGGATTTGCTGTTAACTCTTCCTGATCCATGAACGCTCAATGAAGCCATTAGCCAAGCTGTGAAGTGCGATAATCGCCTATTCCAACATCGCCAAGACCAACACTCAAGACAACATACAATTCGCCATGCTCCAACTATGTCGGCAAGCGGTGTGAATTCGCATTCAGAGGTGGAAGACATGCAAATTGATGTGGTACGTATCAAATCTCTTACTATAGAAGAAAAAAAGTGACGTATGGAGGAAAATTTATGCTTGTATTGCGGTGGAGAAGGCCACAAAGTCGGAAACTGCCCCAAAAAGCAAAATCGAGGTATAGTCAAGACTATGGGAGTATTTATTCAGGAAAACGAGGATGCCCAGCCACAGTAGGAACCGTGCGGCTGGACAATGAAATATCCCAACAACAATCAGGTTCCTTTCTTTCTGCCCAACCTGCACTTTGTTTTACAATCCCTCTGTTTATCGGCCCTCAAAAACTGAGAACCTTAGCACTACTAGACTCAGGAGCATCTGCTTGTTTTTTAGACAAAGAATTTGCAAAGCGTCATAAGATCCCTTTAGTACAAAAATCAAAACCTGTTCGTGTTGAGGTCATAGATGGGCGACCTTTATTGTTTGGTAGCATCACCCATGAATCAAAACCTATAGAAGTAACGTTTAAAGACCATAGTAGTCATATTATTTTTAATATTATTAGAACCCCATCAAATCCTATTATTCTTGGTCTTTCTTGGTTGGAAAAACACAATCCATTGATAGATTGGAGGTTGCGGAAGATGACTTTTCCCACAAAACCACCCAAGAAAAAACCTAGTAAAAAACCTCGAAAAAAGAAATCCTTATTCATTGGAGCAAGAGCGTTTATAAGATCATCTAAGGAAGGCACTCCATTTGTCATTTATGCGGCTCCAACTACCGAGGAGAAGATCTCAACAGCAAGTATACCGGAGCAATATAAGGATTTTGAAGACGTGTTTCAAAAGAAGAACGCCGACATACTACCAAAACACCGACCATATGATTGTGCCATAGACTTGCAAGAAGGAGCACAACCACCTTTTGGCCCAATCTACAATCTATCGCAACCGGAGTTGGCAGAGTTACGAAAGTACATCGACGAGAATCTAGCGAAGAACTTCATTCGTCATTCAAAATCATCAGCTGGAGCACCCATCTTATTTGTGAAGAAGAAAGATGGATCATTACGGATGTGTATGGACTATCGAGGCCTCAACAAGGTAACAAAGAAAAATCGTTACCCATTATCCTTCATTTCTAGTCTCTTAGAACAACTTGGACGTGCAAAGATCTTTACAAAAATTGATTTAAGGGGAGCTTATAATCTCGTACGAATCAAGGAAGGAGATGAGTGGAAGACAGCATTTCGTATAAGGTATGGTCATTTTGAATATAATGTCATGCCTTTTGGTCTTACCAATGCTCCAGCAGTTTTCCAACATATGATGAATGACATCTTTCGAGAACACCTCGACGATTTTGTTGTCATCTACTTGGAAAATATTCTAATATTCTCTAAAAACGAGGAAGAGGATGAGGAGTATGTTCGTTTGGTCTTGGAGAAACTATGCAAGCGAGGACTATATGCCAAATTAAAAAAGTGTTTACTTCACCAGACAGAGATGGAATTTTTGGGGTTCATTGCGACTACAGAAGGTTTGAAGATGGATCCCAAGAAAGTAAAAGCAATCATGTCTTGGGAGGTTCCGAAGATGGTTAGAGACGTACAATGCTTTCTTGGTTTTGCTAACTTCTATCGAATCTTCATCAAGAATTATTCTCAAGTTGCTGCTCCTCTCACTTGATTAACATGCAAGGACAAGTTGAAATGGGGACCTTTGGCGGAGAAGGCGTTTCAAGATTTGAAGACAACATTTACTATAGCTCCAATTTTGGTACATCCAGACTTTACAAAGGCCTTCTATTTAGAAACTAATGCTTCAGATTTTGCTTTGGGAGCTGTGCTTTCACAAATGAGTGAAGATAAGAAGCTCCATCCAGTTGCATTCTATTCTCGGAAGTTCTCTGCTACTGAAATCAATTATGAGATCCACGATAAGGAACTTCTTGCTATAGTGGATTCTTTCGAAGAATGGCGTCACTTTCTTGAAAGAGCTGCACATCCAGTAACCGTATATACGGATCACAAGAATTTGGAGTATTTCATGACGGCTCGAGTTTTAAATCGGCGTCAAGCTCGGTGGAATATGTCGCTATCTAGATTCAATTTTGTTATCACTTATCGACCTGGAAGACAGCAAGGACTATCCGATGCTTTATCAAGGAGATCGTATCTTGCACCAAAGGCTGGAGAAGCAGCGTTTGATCAACAATGTACAACATTATTGAAGCCAGAGAGATTTCAACTTTGTGCTACTATTGTATCATTTGATGTTGACTTCCTAAACCAGGTACGTGCTATGACCATTAAAGATTCAATAGCCATTGATATCAAGCAACGTACCAATGACGACAAGTTTAAGGTGGAGGGAGATCTTTTATACTTTGAAGAGCGATTGTACATTCCAAAAGGACTAGCACGACTCCGAGTTCTTCAATCTCGCCATGATTTTCCAGCTACAGGACATTTTGGATTCAACAAGACCTTGGAGCTTATTTCCCGAGATTTTTGGTGGTCCCAAATGTGGAAGGATGTGAAAGATTTTGTCCTCTCTTGTGACATCTGTTCAAGATCTAAGAATCCTCGGCATCGCCCTTATGGACTTCTACAGCCATTGCCAATTCCACGTCGACCATGGTCTTCAATTTCTATGGACTTCATCACGGACTTGCCATCATCAAACTCATTTGACAGCATCTTTGTCGTGGTAGATCGGCTTACGAAGATGGCACACTTTGTTCCTTGTAAGAAGACATCGTCCAGTGAAGTCACATCAAGACTCTTTCTCGATAATGTGTATCGATATCATGGACTACCAGATGATATCATATCAGATCGAGGTACCCAGTTCGTGTCAAAGTTTTGGAGATCTCTCTTTGGGATATTGAAGGTGGATATCAAGCTTTCTTCAGCTTTTCATCCTCAAACTGATGGCCAAACGGAACGGGTGAACCAAGTCTTGGAGCAGTACTTACGATGCAGCATCAACTATCAGTAAGACAATTGGACTGCATATCTACCGCTAGTCGAGTTTGCATATAACAACACCCTCCATGCGTCGACTCAACAAATACCATTCTTTTTCAACTATGGGTATCATCCGAAGCTTGATTTATTGAGTCCGTCAACAAATAACAATCCAGCAGCTGAAGGATTTGCGAAGCAACTATCAGAGCTCCAAACTATGTTGAAGCTTCAATTACAATCCGCTCAAGAATCCTATAAGACGTCTGTAGATAGATTTCGGAATCCAGCACCTACTTTCAAAGTTGGAGACAAAGCTTGGCTTCTTCGATGAAATATCAAGACCAAGCGACTATGTGATAAGTTGGACTATCGAAGATTGGGACCATTTATCATCCAAAAGTAAATTAATCCAGTGGCATACCGGCTGGAGTTACCGGCTTCTATGAAGGTACATCCAATCTTTCATGTTTCTCTTTTGGAACCTTATCAAGAGTCATCTTTTCCTGGAAGAGTGCAATGTCCGCCACCTAGTATTGAAATCGAGAACCACGAAGAATACGAGGTTGAAAAGGTATTGGATTCACGGCGAAGGTGGGGAAAGTTAGAATATCTTGTTCATTGGTGTGGCTATGACATTAATGAGCGAACGTGGGAGCCAGTTGAAAATCTTGTGAATGCGCCACAAAAGGTACTAGAGTTTCATCAACGACATCCCGATAAACCTAAATCAATTCGATGATAGCTTCTTTCTGAAGCTTGTTCTCCCAACAATATAAGAAAAGGGGAGAGCATCAGCAAAATTCATAGTTGATGTAGTTATTTTCTCCAAGATAGATCGTAGTTTGGTCTTTTGATATGGATAGCCAAGAGATAGATACTATGCCAGTCAGAGTATCGCAACCGAGTAGCTCACGAAGGCGACCCCAAGATGAAGAACTACATGTACCACGACGACGACGGAGGATACCGAGTAACCGATCATTAGTGATCGTATTTGAGATCGAGCTTGCTTACGATGGTCAACGAGAAGGCGTGTTTGCAGGACAATTTCACAATGAGGACACAAAAGTTCATGCTTGGTCAGAAGTCGAAGGCGTGGGCCACTATCGTTGGCTTCAAGGGTCGATGAACCACTTGCCTCGTGAACAACAGTTGGAGTTCATAGCAAAAGTTATGCGACAGATCTTCATTTTCTTGCGTTGGTACTGATCAACAACATTGTTTCTCAGAGACCTCGAAGCTAAAGGAGGGGGTGATGTTAGGGACATATTCTTTAGAACTTTCTAGAGAGAAGTTTCTAGAACCTTCTAAAAAACAAGCCTCTGGAACCTTCTAGAAGAGAAGCCTCTGGAACCTTTTAGAGAGAAGTTTCTAGAAGCTTCTAGAAAGGAAGTCTCTGAAACCTTCTAGAAGAGAAGTTTCTAGAAGCTTCTAGAAAGGAAGTCTCTGAAACCTTCTAGAAGAGAAGTTTCTAGAAGCTTTTAGAAAGGAATCCCCTGGAACTTTCTAGAAGCTTCCTAGTTAATAGAAGTAGCTTGAGAAGTTTCTAGAACCTTCTAGAAAGGAAGCCTCTGGAACCTTCTAGAAGCTTCCTAGTTAATAGAAGTAGCTCGAGAAGCTTCCTAAGTAGGAGTATATATAGGGATCGAGGCTAAAGAGTTCTTCAGTCTCGACAACACATCTCTTGGAGTTCTAGCTCACCTTTTTGGTGTTGTTCTTGTACTCATCTGTTTAATCTAGTTCTGCCACTTCTTCTTGAACTTCTTGTTGGATTTCAAGTCTATATTTTGTGTCCGTGACAGTAGGTTGCAACCTCCAAAACTTGAGATTGAATGCAAATTCTAAAAATAATAAAGATAGATGGTATATTATTACAGAAATTGTAGCACACAATTCTATAATGCATTTCAAAACAATACACAAAAGAAAAAAATTGCAACAAGGTTCAAAACTCTTTTTAAATTTTTTTCACTTACACAATACACAAAGAATACTAAGCAATTACAAACTAAACCTTAAATGTTGAAGATGTTGCAAAAAACTTTGTAGCAATCTTCTAGTCTAAAATCATGCACTAGTAAAATATCCAATGTATAATTATGTGTCACTGCTTTTTTGTACACCATTTCTCCAAAAAGAATTGCCTCTCTTAATGTGGCAACAAAATTCTCTAAGTCGTAGCACAAATCATTTGAGCTACGACATAGTCTTAATGAATTCAATTGTCTACACATTGTCCAAATCAACAAGCATATTATGCACAATGCAAGAAGACTATTTTTATATTAAACTTCTTGTATTATGAAGCTTCAAAATTCTCTACAATTCTAGTGAACACTATGTAGGCACACATGTCTTGAAAAAGAAAAAAAACGTGGAAGTTGAGAAGCTTGTACCATTAAAATATTAAAATTAGGATGACTGTTGCCAAAAACAAGAAGGCTAGAGTTTCTTGAACAAAACTAAATGAATTAAATGCAAGCATTAATTGAGAAAGGTGTTGGGGACGGTGAAGGGGTTACAATGCTAATGTCAGGGTATGGGAATGGTGTGCAGAATGACCGTGGGTACAGGGCCTCGTAGCCAGAGGGTGGCAGGAGAAGCGCGCAACTTACTCCAGCAGGGTGGAAGAGGAAGCTGGATTAGCGTGGGAAAAAACTTACTAATCACGTCGCAGGGCACTCCTTCTTCTTGTTGGTGTTGATGCTCCCGTTCCATGTCAGAACTCCACTGCGACTTGAACAGTCCAGCAGCTTGCGGGCGGGAGATCGATCGCTCACCTACCAGAACCCTAATGCACTCTGCCCTCCCGTGTCTCTCCTGCGATTGCTCGGCACTGTTCCGCTTCTGTCTGGATCATGCCGCATCTCTTGGCCTTGCTCAGATTTATCTGACGCGGTCACGACGCGGGGTTTTTCGATTTGCGCTCTTCGTGAACCCTGAGGCGAGGGGAGGAGTAGAGTCGAGATGATTGTATGTCTGGAGTGTTGACATTGTGGATCTCGATGAATGTCGTGGAGATGAGGTAGTTGTGAGGCTCGAGGCCCGAGGGGAGAGTTGGAACTGTTGACAACGCAGCAGCTAGAGATAATGGGGGAGATTCGGGAGAAAGCATTGGTTCTTTTGAATGAGGCTAAAATGCAGGTGAAGTCTACCGACAGGGCTGATGTTCTGAATAGAATGATGGAGCTTGTGCTGCACGAAGATCCAGTGTCGCTGCTTCCGGAGTTTGTACCTTACCTGTTGGAGTTTCAGGCAGACCCTGACAGTCCTGTTCGTGAGAATGTGGCTAAGTGAGTGTTTTCTTACCCTGGCACTCCGCATTGATTTGTGCTACACGTTTGTTGATGGATTCTCTTAATGCAACCAACTTATCCGAATACTTGTTTCTAGTTTACTGGTCGACTTCAAACCTTCAAGCTAGGGACGCATATAGTAGAGACGCGCAGACTTAAATGTAATCGTAGATGTCTCCTCATTTATGTGATAAATAACATACAAGATCTTCTATTTCTCGTCTCATTGAGATAATCGCACTTTGAACCCTGGTTCATACCTCATCGATCTCAGTTTACTCCCTACATTATGGGAGTCTTACATTCAACAGATCATGGTACTTTCCATGTTGAAGTAGTCAGAGAACCTTCTATTTTATCGGCTTTCCGTATAACCTTCAAATAGCGAATTGCAGGATTATTGAAAAGAAGTCAGAATTCAAATGTGTTCCTGTGATTCTTTTGCAGGATGATTGAAGGGGTAGGTCTGCATCATATTGATTACGTCCACGTCGTAGCTCCTGCTCTACTAATGCTGTTGCAAGATACCTCACCAGCAGTTGTGAAGCGTGCAATCACCAGTGGTAGCAGTATTTTCCTGAATGTTTTCGAACAGGTTGCTTTGCAGGTACTATCTAATTCCTCTTGCTGCCCCCCCCCCTTTTTTTTTTTTTGTTAAGATATTTTTTACCGAGGATGATTTGGTAAAATAGCAGTATTCTGAATTTCAGTTTAATGACATCCGCATTTGCCGTCGGACTGCATGAGTCTTGGAACAAATCTTTACGTGGTTCTGTGATGGTCGCTTGTTTTTTTTGCAGGGGGTAGAGCGCGAACTCGTTGAACAAGATCTATTGGAATGCTGGAATTGGATGGACCGCTTCAAGGAGGCAGTATTTTCCCTTGCATCTCAGGTTATCATGTACCCCGGTCCTACAGACCAAATGATGTTCTCTCAATCTATTTTTCATGGTCTTACCTCCTCTATATTTCTTCAAATGCATCCGCTCATTTCTTAAATTCTTTGACAGTACTCAGGGCTCCTTCGCAGATGGTCTTTCCATGTTGGAGGAGTTTTGATTTTGTTGTGATGTAAACGCTTCTGTATTGCGTTCGATATAGAAAATTGGATAGAAGAATTTCATTATTCTTTTGTACCCTGGTCAGTTGAAGTATCAGAAAGATTATTTGCGTGATGCATTGTCAATGTGTTTGCTGATCAAATAGATTCACTACGTTAATATTGACCATTCCAGCAGTGAGGTTGATGTCTGAGCTCGTATTTTGTCTTTTGCACTTCGATACGTTGTGACATTATTTCTGCCTAAATGATTTCCTATCCGGAACTTTCATCTCAATACATATAAACTGGGCGCTTCGTATGGTGTTTAACCCCTGCTCTATGTGTTTTCTTAAGAAGATACATACTGAAACCTGCAGTTTACTGAGTTGCAGCCTGGGGATGACGAAGTACGGGTATTGGCTCTGAAATTTGTGGAGGCTACAGTTCTGCTTTTCACGCCTAATTCCAAGAGTCTGTCAGCTGATCTGCTGACTTCTGATGGTTATCTGCAATTTCATTTTCTCTTATTCCTGCTTAGTTAATTTGCTTACGAAGATTTTGACGCTAAGCTGCAATTGTTTGCATTGATAATTCCTATTATATCTAGCATGAAGGTATATGATCAAAGCTTTGGATTGGTGGTCCAGGCACAAATGAAGAATCTCTTGTGACATGCTTAGATGGAGGTCACTCAGTCTTAAATGCCAGTATATTGAAGCAAGAAGCTTCTAAGAGTCTTGGATTGCTGTTGAATCAGTTACAAACTTCGGAAGCACCTCCCCTATCTTGTTTGGTGGCGTTGTCAATCATGAACAGGTTAATGCCCTGTACAATACCCTGCACAATTAGTTCCAATGCTTTAGAGCATTTGCACAGAAAACGCTGGAAAGGATGCGTCTCGCTTTTAAACTCATTTATATTACTAGTAAATTGATACGATTTTTTCGATTCTTCTAGTATAGGAAAACTGTGAATTGTTCATGTTGTGATTTGAATTGATCTTAACTTCAGTTTTGATGCAGTTTGGCTGGATTAGCGGAAAGAAGACCATCCATGTCACCTGCAATCCTCTCAGTTTTATTATCTCTAGTACCAAATTTCGACCTTAGTCTGGGGAGTCACAGTGAAAATTTTATTCATGAGCTGAATAACGCTTGTGTTGATATTTTGAAATCCGACCAACCTTGTGTCTTGTCGGTTCGTTTTCTGTTTCCCCTCCCCTATTCTATTATTATTATTATTATTATTATTATCTTGTCGACGAATTCGAATGGATTGGTTCTCAAACTTTGTGTATCCGCTCTGTTCATTTAAAGATTCCCAATAATGATCTGAGATGACTTACATAGGCGAATTGTGACAAGACGATTGAATAGTGTGGATTATGTGTCTTGCAGTGGCGAGAACAATTGGTTGCGGCATTGAGGCCCATGAATGCTGAGGCAAAACGTGATCAAACCATCAAAGAACCTGGAATCCCTTCATCTGTGTCTACTTCTTCAGACGTCAAAGTTACCGGTTCCTCCTTTGTTTCGAGAACTGCACTTAAGCCTCGTAACTCTTCTGCTACCGTGACTGCGCCACTGCGACCTGCGTCTCCCTTGACACGGATTAGAACCTCGTCTACATCTACTACCGTAACCGCTCCGCCACGAAATCCCTCTCCAGGGAGACAGCTAAGAATGCCGTCAGCTGCTGCCCCCGTAACTGGTCCACCACGAACTGCATCTCCTTTGAAGCAAACTAGGACCCCGTCAAATAGTACTTCTAACGTGGCTGCTCCTCCACGAACTGCGTCTCCAGCGAGACAGATTAGGTCCTCGTCTGCTGCTACTGGTGACAAAGGCCCACCACGTACTGCATCTCCTGCGAGGCAAAGTAGGACCTCATCTACCTCAGCAACCGTAACTGCTCCACCAAGAACCGCATCTCCTTCGAGACAACCAAAGACCTCTTCGGCTGTCACTTCTGTGACGGCTTCGCTGCGGCCGGCATCTCCCTCGAGACAGACTGTCAAGACTCCCGGTTCCCTCCCTCAGAATGGGCTCTCTAGCGCGAAGGGACTCAGGGGTACGTCTCCAGCGAGACCCAGATCTGGTGGTGTGGACAGCGGGGTTACTAAAGTTTCTCCTCGTGCTAGTACAGGTGTTGAGGATCCCAAGTCGTCAACCGTCGCTGTCTCGTCTTCTTCAACGTCTACGAGGACTTCTGCCAAGCCTGCCCTCACGTCGCTGAAAGTATCACCTCGACCGTCCCCTTCCTCTTCTCCTCGTGCTGTTCCAAATGTGGAGAACCCCAGGTCCTCTGGTGTTATTGTGCCATTTCCACTTACTGTTGTGAAGTCTTTACCCAAGCCCTCTGCTACCTCTGTCAAAGTGTCTCCCCGCCCACCGTCCCCTTCTATGAAATCAGCACCTCGCTCAGCATCTCCCGCAGCGAAGTCATCTGCCCGACCAGCATCACCTTCTGTGAAATCTGCACCTCGAGCAGCGTCTCCTTCATCTCGTGTCACGGCTGGAGCTTCCCCCCGAACGACGACTGGAAGTGTAACAAGTCGTCCTGCATCTCCGTCTCCAGCTGCACGGAAAGGTGTGGCATCTTCTGGAAATCTGCTTCCATCTCCATCCCCACGAGCTTCTGAAAACAAGTCGTCGCAGATTTCTACTCCCAATGTTTCAGTTTCTGTCCCAGATTCATCAAAAGTTGGTTCTATCAATGGAAAGCCTTCTCTTTCCAACCACCTACCAGCAGCGTCTTCGAGCCTTGCAGCCCCAGGACGGAGTAAGGCGTCTCCTAGTGCGATCCCTTCGTTGAAGACAAAAGTTGGTTCTCTCCTTCCTTCGATACGGAAGAGTTCACAATCGCCATCTTGTGAGAGCTCGCATAATCTATCATCTAGCAGGAGTGATCCCAATCCGGATGCATCTACCGAATCGGTAACGAGGAGTGTGGTGCAGGAGGTTCCTACTCAGAGGTTAAGAATTGCAAGCTTCAAACGAAATGGTTCAGGACCATCGAAGGCAACAGAGATAGTCTCACCTGAAGTTATTCCGGCCAACCCAATTACTATGAATACGAAAAAACGCTGTGGGTGGATCACTTCTCAAAGTGGTGAGACTTCCGTTAAACTTACGATGCAGTCTTTGTTTGTGTAGTGTTTGCTCATCCACGGTCATAGCGCCACCAAATTATCATGCCTGGTGTTGGGCCTTCTGACGTCGATGTATTGCTGAGATCCGATCCGCAGGAGTCACCTTTACGATGATTCATTTTATTTGATTGCGGTATTTGTTCATTTTGTACAGACAATAATTTGAGGTTGTTTCTTGTTGGTCTGTCTTTTTCATGACTTAATTTTTTCGATATGTGTTGATATTGTTTACAGATGAAGTTCATATTGCTTACCATGACAATGAGTGGGGCATTCCAATCTATGATGACAAGTAAGTTCCTGATACTTCTGCGTTTATGTGATGTATATGCTGACAATTTCGTTCAGATTCGCAGTGAAGCTATTTCTCTGATATGCCTAAGAGCCATGTCATTATGAGGCGATTCGTTATCTAGTGATGTTTAGGCATGCTGCACATAGACGTTTGAAGATATTTACTTGCACTTAACTTCACTGCCACTTTGCTTTAATTTCAAGGTCGGGGTTTCTTGTGTTTGGTATATATCTGACAATCCAGTTAAACATGAATGTGCTGTGTCTCCAGACTTCTCTTTGAATTGATTGTGCTGCAAGGGGCACAGGCTGAGTTGAGCTGGCCTACCATTCTCGCCAGGCGGAATAACTTCAGGTTCACAACTTTCTCCTTAATTGTGAGTTGTATTGGTCAAACTATCTGAATTTTAAGAATGCGCTAGTGCACATTCTAAACTTCGTGACTGACTTGGGTCTTTTGGCATGAGGACAGGGCCGCATTTGCGAATTTCGACCCAGCGATTGTCGCCAAGTTCGATGAGAAGAAGAAACTATCATTGATAGCAGACTCATCCATCTGCTTCCCAGAAGCTAAAGTGAGAGGGGCTGTTGATAATGCATCACATGTTCTTAAGGTTTGTTTCTCCTGTTTTTGTTTACTAAATATTATCCCTTCTACAAGTTTATTTAATACGACTTTTACTCTTACTTAGCAGGTGGACACCAGCGTTAATTGTCTTGATATGACTGTTGCATCTTGTAGCTTTCTATTTGATAAAATTGATAAAGTCTTCAGGCTATAGCCATGACATCCTTTCTGATAGAAGCACCGTTCATGCAAAAACTTTCAGATCATTGAAGACTATGGTTCATTGAGCAAGTTTCTGTGGAGTTACGTCAACCATAAGCCGATTTCAAGTCAATATAAATTGGCCAAACAAGTGCCTGTTAAGACGCCCAAGTCTGAGGCGTTGAGTAAGGAACTACTACGAAGAGGATTCAGGTTCGTGGGTCCGACAACAATGTATTCAGTGATGCAGGCAGCAGGTCTGGTATGTGACCATATAGTCACATGCTACAAATATCAGGAGACTTCTGCTGAAAACTCTCCAGTAACTGATCTGGTTATGGAAGGGGAGAAAGCTACAGATCCATGGCAGCGCATTTCTCTGCCAGCCGATGTGTATTCTCTCGAATTCAGGAGAGCGTCAGCCAATGCTAGTGATCCTGTCTGGGCAGAGCTCCCAATAATCGAGGAGGCTAAAGAAGAAGAATTAGAGAAAAATTCTGAAGACGAAGAGTTAAATGATGACATTTCGTCGTCATCAAAGAGTGGAATACCAGTTTGCTGACCCAAGAGGTGAAACGGCGCTCATCACATGAATCGGGATTTACATTCATTATTTTCTCGTCTTACAAGAAGCGCTTTCCCATCACACTCAATCGCACCTGGGCTAGCAGACTCTCTGGACCTGATGCTAATCATTTAACTGCATCAGTTCCCTCCCACCATCCTCTCAGGCCCGACTCTTGGAGCTAATGTGGGCGATTTGTATTGAACTCCTGGTTCTTCCCAGAAATAGGTGGACATGTACGATACTCGGCTATTCTACAAAAAAAAAATTGCAGCCTAATGGCTATACCGTTGATCACTCCTGATGCACTGATTCTCAATGCGAATGTCTCACACATTCATCAGGTACTGAACCCTCTCGCTAAATTTTCTCTGTGGTTCTATGTGTATTCAGTAACAGTTCACTGCGTTAGTGATCCTTTGAAGGGGTGCTGAAAATATTGTTGTGTTCTCGGGTTTCAGATTTCCATCGACTATCAAGATGAAGTCTGCTATCTATCGTTGGTGGAATATATTCTGCTGCATGAAGCTTTCTTGAGTTTCCAGCAGCATTGACGGATTCCTCTTGAACAGAAAACATGTATTTTTAGGTTTAATACCTTCCTACTTGTACACCTATTTCTTTAATCTGCACTATATTTTCATCCCTTAAGATCCTGTATGCACTATGCAGATCACAAGTCTTGCTTAGGGCGCTTATTCACCTGTGACATCGCTAGCCTCATTCCTACTCTCTAACTTTGTCTAAATTCTTGAACCTCTACTGTACAATACTTTGTTAAATTGCAGCAGCTGAGGACACGACGTATTCTTCAACTCAAAGTTTGGTAGGGAGGAACGAGAGACAGGAACCTGCAATGATTGTCACCGATGAATTTGGCTGCACGCCTCTAGTCGACTGGCCCCTGATATAGTTGGCATTTCCTTATTACCCCGAAGGGATCTGAAACAAGCAGTATTATGTTCTATTATGGTAATCCTAAAGTCAGTTGATAATGAAACCAAACGTTGGAAATTGGAAAATTTTATGTCCATGTGTACAGCAGTCAAGTGCACTGTCCGATTTTGTCAACTGGCGTTTCATGTCTATGCCAACAGTAGTACCAACATTCTATTCCTTGAGGTTTTCTGCTCATCTTACCCTGTCGCCCACTCGTTCAAAGCGCGAAGTCTCCACTGCGTCTCGGCGATCGTTTCGCCCTATTCGGCACATGTTTAGAGCAGGCCCCTTGCGTGGGCCATGTTGTCCACATCCCCCTCTTGTGCCCATCTTGTCCCACTCCGCACGTCGACTGACTGTAATTCATCCCTTGCATCATTCTCCAGACAAATTCTGAAGATGTATAAATCTAATGGTGACTCTGTATAAAGATGTATAAAGCTAATGGATGAGCTTTTCCAATGGTCATGTGAGGTGATGTTATTTCTATCTAGTATGAAACTTTGATTTGTGAAGGGATCATATGTAATGTCCCATTCTAGCCCATTTATACATCTCTAGTAGGATATTTTAAGTAAAAATATTTGAGCATAGGTTGAATAGCATATCTTAGTGGTTTTGATTAAAATTGGAATAGATTAATTTATAAACTAGAATAATAATTTTAAATGATGTATAAGTTAAATATTCTACATTATTATCACTTTTTGTAAAATATCGAATATGGGTGGTAGTTGTATAACCAACAGACTACTTATTACATCTCCAATTAATGCAAGAAAATCTCATGCTAATAGTAGCTTGTTGGTTGGAGAAGCTCAAATTTGTTGCCTCTTGTTCCAATTTTTTGTTTAAAACTCATGGTCTTCTACCACTTACAAAGTAGGAGATTGATCATATACCATATTTTTTTCCTTTGCTACTTGATTTTTTTCTCAATGTGTAGACTTTATAGTTGATATTATAGCTTTAATTGAAAGTAAGGTGGAAAAGACAAAGAATTTTTCTAAGGAAGAGTGCTATCTTTATTAAATATTCTTCTATATACCAAAGGATTCCATTAATAGCAGTAGGCAATCCACAAATGTGCTTTGACATAGAATTTAAAAGCACTATACAAAGTCTTTTGATTGTAATGAGATGTCAAGGAGGTTAATTAGAGATAAACTTGGATACAATCAAATAATGTGTGTCTAAGTTTTGTAGCATCTATAAATCTAGATTATTTCCAAAAAAGTCAAAGATGTCTCTAAAAGATGTTCATAAGCAATTATACCAATTATATTAGATGAAACATCCTAAACAAGCATATTTTGTTTTTATTTGTAATATTGATTATTATTAAAAGACATCTTTTGTTGGTAGAATTTTCAAAATAAAGTCCAACAATAAAATTTTAAAAATAACATTATTTTATAGAAATGGTCTTCATGAGGAAGATTGCAATTTATTGTCATTGCATAGAAATGTTACACATTGATGTATCTAATACAATGAGAATTATACAAAGAAGGAAGTTGATAAAAGAAATCAAAGAAAGAGGCTTACAATCTACAAGAGTAGGATTTTCATGAAAGATTGTCATTAGAAGAGAAAAGATTAGTACATTCAAAGTCCAAATAAATTTTACTACTAAAGGCTCTATCCCTTGTCCTTGCTTGATCAATCATTGAAGTTGTCACCTCCATAATCTCCTTTGCATTTCTTGGAAGTATCATATAAGCTCCATACAATAATACGAAATAGAGTAACAACAATGAACTAGAATTCTTAAAGGTAGAGCTAAGTTGTAGCAAGTATTTGAACATAAACTTTTAGATAAATAAAGTTGCAAAGAAAGAATTGTGCAACCAAATAATTTAGTACTTTACACACAAGTGCAATTAATTTATAAGATGTCTAAGGCAAGTATAATTAAGGTGCTATTTTTATAAGACAAAGCAACATTAAGTATATTTATGATACCAATCAATAAGTCTATATCTAAAGAGGCATAAAATATATTATTCTAATGTACCAAAAAAGATGGTGTGGTTTGATTAGGTACATACAAGCAAAAATACTAAAACATGTTACAAAGAAAACAACTATAATTTCACATGCAAGATATAATTGTATTTTTCCTTTGACCACATAAAACCTTCAAGCACCAAAGATGTTATTCTAACCTCTTATAATTGTCTCCTTTACTCTACTATCATTACTAATGTAGTCACCAACTACTTGCATTACAATATAAGATAACTTTCTTATTGTCATTGTTGCCAATCTATAATAATAATAATAAATCTATCATTTTTATTCTTTAAATTTTTGATTTTTTTGAAATTGACAATGCAAAGCTCTTAGCCAGGTTGTATGATCTTCTTCATGATCTTAATTGTATTGTCTTCCTTGGTAATTTATTTGATTGTATTTTTTTAATAAAAGCTATTAGTATATTAGTTGGATTTTTTATTTTTTTTGTTTTCTCTAAATCCCATTGATGATTCAATAAGAATTAATAACTCCAAAACATTACTCTACATCTTTGTAGACTTCTTCTAAACTTTGATATAATATAGGTTTTTCTCCTCTTAGTCTTCATAAATGGGCTAGAAAAAATAAAACCATAGAAGGAACAAATGTCGTAAAAGCAAATAATAATGAAAGTACTAATGGAGTGGAGCGAGGGAAAGAGCAGAGTGGAGCAAGCACAAATGGTCGTAAAAGCACGCATATTTTTTGGGCGGTACGAGGCGGCGGTGGACAAGATTCGCAGTGAAGTACCGATGGTCTAATGATGGAATTATACTCTTGGTGTTGTACGGATCGGGGTTTAGGGTTCATACAATACCCTAAAACCCTAAACCCTAAACCAGCAGCCCTGTCGGATGCCACGGAACACTCAGAATGGAAGGAGGGAACCACCCACACAAATGGCAACATCAAAACAGAGAGAGGACCCTCTCCACACCAACATGCAAGAACAACGCACTAATCCAATCCCACCGACAATATATAAGCTAAAATCGGTGGTCACACAAGAAGGAAACTCAAACCCCGAACCCGCCCGTCCCACACACATGATCTTTAGCGCCACAAAGTCACCACAAGACCGAGAAGAGACATCAACCAACCACCAAACTCACCCAGCAAGCAGAACCAAAACATCCACAAACAAAAGCACCAGCCTACAACAGAATCAATCCCACATTGTACAGCACATGGAAGGGTTCCAATTCGTGTGGGGGAAGAAACAACAGGGGAAAATCCACTCTCAACCTAAACCAACAAACACAGACCTGGAAGAGGCACAAAAAAGGGGGGTATTGAACCATAGCACTTCCAGAGGGGTTTCTTCATACTGTGCCATTCACCCCACATCCCAACACTTAGATCACATGCTGCAGGATATTCTCCTTACTGTTCACGACAGCGGGGGAATTTTTTTGTATAGTCCTCATCGACCTCAGCACCTCAGGGACCCAACCAATTGCCCATAGACAGGTATCCACCTTAGAGAATCACACAGAATAGTCCCACACATAAGCAACGACGCTCCTCCTTCAAGAAACCGCAATGGCTCTGTCTAAGAGTTATCAACACATAAAACATTGGGAACCTCCTAAAAAAAATAGGAGGATGCAATATGGAGATACTGGTGGGAGAAAAACGGAGACAAAAAGACACATTGCATCTGAGTGGCCTTCATCTCTACTGCCCCAAATACAATGAAACTCAAAAGACCAGATCATCACATCTGGATTCCAATGCATAGTTCGCTACGGGAATTTGCATTGACCATACAAAAAGGAATGTTGAGGCCACTCTCAGCACAAACTGAGACACCCACACAAACACGCCTGGGTAAAAGCCAACTTGGAGACAACATATCTCTCTACAGACCTGACAAGAAGAGAGCTAAACCCACCGCAACATCGATAGAAGAACAAAAAGGCCACATAGAGTGCACTACCCCAAAAGAGGGTGCCTACAACAATCCCATCCTTCCCCCATAACAGAAGACAATATCGTCCTTGCAACTCTCAATGTCAGGTTACTCGGATAAGGCATCTAGGGAGTAAGAAAATGCACCAAAATATGCAATCTATTTTGAAAGGCCCAATCCCAACTAGAGGTCATCCCCTTACAAGAACACCACTACAACATAGACGACTACATGCAACGGACGAGTCAACTCCAGTTCAAGGGGAAAAAAAGTTTTTGGAACAACGCAACGTACTCCACAGAAGGACGGAGATTCTCGGGGGGCATGGCTATCTCGATATCTCACAGACTCTCCAACCGCATTCTAGATTACGGAGTGATCGTAGAATCCCCATTCCAGTTTGTAATCATCGAGATAAAGGGCAAATTGATTGGAATACTGAATTAATACACCCAAAACATAACAAGCCAGCGAGCCCAACTGTGAAACGTACTAAGTCGGCATCCCTTCTGTCGGATACCTTGGATCATAGCAAGAGATTTTAATATGATCGAACGATGATCAGATAGGAGTACGGGATTCAACATACCCAGCATGGGTCAAAGAGAACAAGCGACATGGACCAATTTCACGATGCACCTCGGCATCCTCGACACTTTCCACATGGACGCATCTCGTCAAATCGGGACCAAGAGATTTACGTGGAAAAACCAAAATCGTACACCCAATTGGTCTCGAATTGACAGATTTTATACGAGCTACGAACTACATGAACAAGAGGAGATAACATGGCATCTGGCCACAAATTGCATATATATCGGACCACTCGGCCGCATTCCTCTCAGTCCACTTTGCGGGGAAGAAGAGGCCCCAAAAGGCTCACTTTGACCGAAGGCACGATGCAAAAGCAAAAGAAAAATTCACGAAGGCATGCAAAGACGCAATGAACAATACAGACCTCAAAACCCCAGGAGAGTGAATCGCAATGGCACTGCAACAAATACGACGGGTTAGCATCACGTTAAAAAAAGAAAGGAAGAGACAAGGCCGGACATTGTATACAAGCCAATTCCTTGCAATCGAAGAAGTGGAGAGGCGCCTCAAACGAGACTGCACAGACTTAGAAGCTTAGGCCAGCCTCAATAAAACCCAAGCCA